TGCGGTCTCCTTCGACTGTCACCACCCCTATTTCCTTTCGCACTAGATACGCGCCGGTACCCTCATCGTAATCAGGTTGTGGAGGTGGCGGGGGATCCCCGCGTTGTTCTTTCTGCCCTTCCGCTTCTTGGATGAACTGGGACAAGAGTCCTCTTCGAATGAGGCCTTCTATTTTGTACCTCAGTTCCCTACAATCCTCCGTCAAGTAGCCCGTCTGCCTGTGAAATTCGCAATGCTTGCTTGGGTCGCGCATGTGTGGTGCAGCTTTGACAGGTGCGGGCCAGTTGATTTTGTATCTTTTCTCACGGAGCACATGAAACACATTTTTTACGGAATCGTTGAGTGGTGTGTAGGCGGGCATGACATTTTGTGGGCGTCTGTCTGGTGAACGCCTGCGCGCAGTGTGTTCTGGTGGGGCGGGCTTGGGCCCGCTATGTGACTGTACCAACTACTCCCGCAACAATGGGAGCTGCTTCCGCCCTTGATCTTCTCTGGGCGGCTTTGAGGGTTCGAAGCGCCTGATAGAACCTGCGCCCAAGGTTTCCTCCAGTGTGATGGCCTTCTCGATTTTGACCTCTAGTTCCGTCGAAAGTGTGACTGGTCTTTTTGCTAACGCCCGCTTAAGTTCCATGTTGGTGGTGGCGTCCATGAGGTGATGAGCCGCGGTTTCGGGGGTAAGGTCCCGCACGGCCATTGCCACCCAGGACCACCTGGCGTAGAATGCTCGTAAGCTTTCCCCATCTTTTTGCCGGATGTCGATCAAGGCTTTGAGTTGGAGTGGCCTTTTTTTTTGCGATGCAAACTTAGTTGTGAATAAGAGTATGAACTCTTCGAATGAGCGGATGATCCCGTTACGAAGTCTGTTGTACCAATTGAGGCATATGCCGGAAAATGTTGATGGAAAGGTTTTGCATAGCGCCGCGTTGGAATTTTTATGGAGTTTCATCCTAAGGCAGAATGTGCTAACATAGTCCTCCGGGTCACTAGTCCCGTTATATGTTGGGAGGGCGGGTGGCATTCCGCTTAGGTGTTCCGCCATGATTTCCTCGCTCAACGGTTGATGGAGGATTCTTCTGGGTGGGTGAGGGCAGTACTGCGGAGATAGATGTTGCTCCAAGAAGCCGAGGTCTGCCCTGTCCGACGGCTCCGCTTGTTGCACTTCTCGTGCGGGTGGTGCGTCAGCTGGTGGCAGCGTGACAAACTCTGGTGCTGGGACAGGCAATGGTGCTTCTCCTGCCACCTGTCGTGGCGCGATTGGTTCCACGTGTGCTGCTGGCGCAGCCTCTTTGCTCATCATGAGCGCAATGACTTGGTTCATTTTTCTTTGCATATCGGCTATGACTTCGTTTTGCTTCGCCATTTGCTGCCTCATTCCTTTGGCTGTTAGCTCGGGCTCTTCTTCTTCAATGAGTACCACGTTTAGGTTGCTGGTTTCCGCGAACACTCTTGGGTTTGTGATTTCCTTGATTGGCATCGCCTCGTCAGGTGATTCGGGGTTGTGTTCCGCCATCGGTTGATTTTCAACTGCTTCTCTACTCTGCCCCACGGTGGGCGCCAATTGTTTGAGTCTAACTAAGAGTAGGAGGGAGACTCGGATCAAAGGTGGGTGAGTAGAGTAAGCAACGGGGAAGTTAGGGCAGAAGAGATTCTTAGAGTAAGTAGCAGGGGAGTTTGGGCAGAGAGAATTCTTAGAGAGATAAAGTTCTTAGTAGGTAGAGTGAGAGAGTGAAAAATGCAATCCCCTCACCCACCGGAGTAAATGCCATATTTATAGGCTACATGGTGGTGGGTGAGTTATCCAATGTGACATGACTACTGACATGTTAGAAGTTTAGGCCATGCCTCTACCTTGGACTAGAAGATTTGACTATGATTATACCTAGGACAATGATGTGACTACTCTTCGGTAAACGCGGCGTCATTTTCCTGGTTTCTTGGTCTGGTCAAGGCTTAATTGAAACTTCATCGTTCGGAGTCTGGGGTCTTCGTCCGCGCGGGCGTGATCCTCGCGCGGGCTCCTTGGTTGTGGTAGTATTGGCGCGCCTAGCTCTTTTGGGGCGGTGCTGGGATGCTTCCCTGGCGCGACTAGACCCGAGCCATATACCCAACAAAACCCACTGTAAGTCAATGAATGTTGCATAATGCATTGTGCCTTTGAGATATCCTAGTACACGCCTCATTCCATTGCCAAATGATGAGCACTAGGATTACTCATACACCAACTTAATTGTTATACTACATATACGATATCTGGTCTTATGAAAGTCATTGCATACATCAAGTGCCCAATTAACATGGAATACTCAAGTAAGAGAGCCACTGTTTTAGAAGAGGAAGATAAAGAAGAGACATGATCGGTGAGAATAAGAGAGAAAAGAAAAAGTACAAGAGAGGGGGAGAGAGAGAGGCTGACAGGAAGCGAGAGATAGGGGAAAGTATTAAAGAAATAATAATTAAAGATAGAGAGAGGGGAGAATGTGGGAGTGGGAGGCATGATGGACAGTGGGATGGGGGACATGACATGTGTCCTTTTTTTTGTGTTTTATTTTGGTATATTTCGGTGTTATTCCAAAATGATAACCTCATTTGTCGGTATAGTTTTTTAACAAAAATAATACTTTATTATTACCAAAACGGTATTTATCGGCACAAAAGGGTTGAACCACTGTTGTACCACAAAATACCCTATCACAGACGACTCCGGTTTGATGTCCGATACAGTTTTCTAAACCATGATTCTATCTCAATTTCTTACAAAATCTATTCATATTTCTCATATTTTGACTTTTCTTCAACTAGTTAGACTCAATTACTCATTCTGTTATCACTATTTTTCATTCAAATTTTTTCCCCTTCTTTGTATCGTAAAAAGTAAAATTGCTTGTATGTTTTTTCAAATAGTAAGTAAGAGTGAGTCGACCTGCCCCGCCACGTACCCGCGCGTGTATTACCCGCCCCGACCCACAGTAGCGGGGGCGGGACATGGGTATTGAGGTACCCGCCCCACTCCATCCCATTGCCATCACTAGTCACAAGGGAGAGATGCCTTGATTTGCAAAATTGCAAAGTGGTGCCGTGCATGGCAAGTTTAAGTTGAGGCTCAAAAAATTGAATCCTCTTTTGAAAAAGTGGGAGCGCAACCATGGATTCCTTGGGTTTTTGATGTTTTTATGAGTTCCCCAGTGCACACATGAAGTTTCTAGATGTCCTTAGTTGACAAGGTCGTCAACCGAGAGTGTGCGTTGCACGAAGATATGGAAGTAAAGTTTACCCAATTTTGATTATTCTCGAGGCACCACCGATGATTGATAGTGAATACCATTTATTTTTTCCTACAAGTTGTATGGCTCGTGAGCAGTGTCAAGATCAAGGTCTCTAGACTGTGATGTCAACAAGCGGCCCGTGAAGCTTGTTAGTGAAAGGGCGCATTTTGCTCCGATATCACGGTTTCACTATCGACTTCATGGACGTGATGTGAGATCGTGATTTGTTCACTAGGAACATATATAAGGGAGAGTTGGCTAATTTGAAAGGATGAAGTCCTAGAGAGAGATTGGAGCTTCATCTTCAAGGTTTAGAGAGAGAGAGAGAGAGAGTTATGAGCTAAGAAGGAAGGAAGAAGAATTTCACCTACCCAAGGCTAGAGGAAGGTTGATTTCTTATCCAAAGTTTGAATCATGCATCTAAGAAGAAGGAATATCAACTTGCAATGGGTTTTTTCTTCTACCTTATTTGTATTTTCTCCTCTAGCTGTGGAATAGTCTCCAATTTCACTTGGATGTTATGAACCCTAGTCTAGGATGTGTTAGATTGTAGGAATCGAACTCTATGTGTGTTGGGTCTGTGATTACTTTAATGTTTTGAGGTACTATTCATGGAATTTGGGTGTTGTTGATCATGTCTCAATTTTGGGACTAGTTGACCTAGAAGAAGGAAATTCCCTTATACCCCAATATTAGAAATTCAGGTAACCTTCTCTAGGGGGCAACTTGGGTTAAGAGAGTGCCACCATAATTTCAACTTGATTGGTTACTTTTTGCAGTTCTAGATTATCTTCCTAGGGAGTGATTTTGAAATCCTTAGTTGATCGATTAAGAGAGTTAGGGTTTCCTTGCTAATCGTGACAATCTTTAGTTGATCGATTAAGAGGGTTATGAGTTCCTACCTAATTGTGATCTCCTCACGGTCGTTGTATCTTGACATGAAACTAGGGAGAGCAATATCCAAGTGATTCTTTCTCAATCGAATTCACCAAAGTTTAATTGCTTGCTTGTTTAATTTGCATAGTTTCCTTAGCTTAAACCACAAATTGATCACTAGATAGTAGATAAAGTGTGAACAATTGAAGTAAGGAAAGATAGATTGCCCAGGTTGATATTGAAATACTTATTCTATCCTACACTCGTCTATAGATTGCACTTGACCTTTAATTAGGATTAAGTGTAGTTGTAACCGAACCAGATTGTGACTTGTATTTTCCATACCCATGAACTGCTAAAGAAAATTTTCATATTTAAGAGATTGTTAGCTTTGCAAGGATACACCTTAATCCATGCCACCCACAATATCCCAAAAATCTACTAACAATAACCAAATTAATCTCACTATACATGATTAAATCAACAAAAAATACACTTCTTAAAATCGTGCTAAATATAAACATATTATTAGAAGTCCAGAAGCATAAGTTGGGCCCACTCATAACTATTTGCCTAAATATCTCTCTTTGCACTTGCACAAGAAATCCCAACCGAAGACCTCTATAGTAGTTGTAAAATTGACGGGGCTATAATAAAATAAAAAAGAGTGTAGGGACCGTGAATGGAATCAGCTCGTAGTTTAGGGACCAGATTGTCAATTAACTCATTGTAAATGCTCCAGTATATAGCAAGCGGCCATAGTTTTAGCCATTAGGGCTTACACAGCACAGCAGATAGCAAATCCCTAGCAGTGTAAAACCCTGAACCCGTGCTGGGTTTCTTCGACTCATTCCGCCCACCATGTCTGCTGCTTCAATCGTCTCGCGCTCCGTCCTACTCCGGCGGGCCGCCGTCAACCCTTTCCTCGCTCGCACCTTCTCTTCCGTTGCGTCTTCCTCTCACCGTTCTCACCCCCTCTTCCGCTCTCTCCGACCCCTAGCCGCCGTCGCCTACTTCCCTACCTTCAACTCCGCCTCCGCCTCGGTTCGCTGTCTGGCTACCCGGACGACTTCGTCCTCGCTTAACGACCCCAGCCCTAACTGGTCCAACAGGCCCCCGAAGGAGACGATTCTGTTAGATGGCTGCGATTTCGAGCACTGGCTCGTGGTGATGGAGAAGCCGGAGGGGGACCCTACTAGGGATGATATCATCGACAGCTACATCAAAACCCTAGCTCAGGTCGTCGGCAGGTATATACCACTGATTGATACTTTTGATGGGCTATTTGATTATGTGTTATAGTATTCGATTTGGGTTTTATGGTTTTGTTTTGGTAATGCAAAATCCGCTTTGTTGCAGCGAGGAAGAAGCTAGAATGAAAATCTACTCTGTTTCAACCAGACACTATTTTGCATTTGGGGCTCTGGTCTCCGAGGAACTTTCGTACAAGTTGAAAGGTGTCATATTGATTTCAGTTATTAGATTGATTTGTTCTTGGTATAAAGCGGGGTAGAAGAGCTTCGTGAAATTTTTATGTTCGTTCTTATTTTGTGTACAGAGCTGCCACGAGTGCGTTGGGTTCTCCCAGATTCGTATTTGGATGTGAAGAATAAAGACTATGGAGGTAAACTCTCATCCTTTCTTTCATCAGTCTCCATTGATAGATTCTTCTGCTATGACATTCGATTTAGTGTGGTGGAGGGCGGCTTAAGATTTAAGAGATGCTAACTGAATCAGGTTGTGTTGGTTGCTGCTGTTTTACAGTCTAGTTAAACCATATGTTTTGTTTGGCCATTCGAGATGTAACTCCTGTTGTGCTCAACGAGCTGCTGAATAGTGGACTCTCAGCTACTTTTACTATCTGGCATGACTTACCAGAATCAGATTCCTGTCTTGCATGTATTAATTAGATTAAATTATGTGTTGAGAGGTGTTGATTCATCTTGTCTTGCATATATTAGTTGGTTGTCTTTGATTAGCAGAATTAGAATCTTGTCTCGCATGTGGTTATCAGATTGTATGTGCTGATTGCTCTCTATGGGTGACGGCTTCCCCCAATGTTAAGTGTGTTGTCATTTTTTATTCGTTAGCCACTATAGTTTCATAGTAATGTATATATATGATATATAGGTTCATTTTTCTCTTCTGGTTTGTTTCAGGGGAGCCATTTATCAATGGACAAGCTGTCCCCTATGACCCTAAGTATCATGAGGAATGGGTGAGAAATAATGCAAGGGCCAACGAGAGGAATCGTCGCAATGACAGACCACGCAACTTTGATAGGTCAAGGAACTTTGATAGGAGAAGAGAGAATGTTGCGCAAAATCGGGATTTCCAGAACCAACAGGCGCCGCCTCCTGCCATGGGTGGTCAAGGCATGCAGAATATGGGTAGCCAAGGCATGCCACAGCCGCCGCCACAGTATCCTCAACATAACATGACAGGTCCAGGAGGTCCTCCACCACCGAACAACCAAATGGCCCCTCCTCCACATAACATGGGAGGGCCAGGTGGTCCTCCACCGCCGAACAACCGAATGGGGTCTCCTTTGCCGCCGCAAAACAACCAAATGGGAGGATGGCCTCAAAACAATGTGGGAGGACACGGTATGCCACCACCTCCACACAACCCCATGGGTGGAGCTCCTCAGAATACTTACGGCGGGATGCCACAGACGAATGCTGGAAGGATTCCTCCGCCAAACAATCCTGGATGGTCGAATGGGGGCCAGGGGAACTTTCAGGGTGGAATGCCACGCAACAATGCAGGTCCTCCTTACCAGGGTGAGCAACCAAACTACAACCCTGATGGCTATCCTCCAAACAGAGATGGGAACGGCCCTCGCTACTGAACTTCAAGCTGAGTTTTGGCTGAAAACAATTATGTAGAGTGAGGCTATGATGTTTAAGACTGTTAAGTAAGGGGTCCTCAGCACCACGCTGCTGATCCGTTACTCCCCCATCCCTTTCTCCTACTTGGTACGTGTTAACATTTGGCTGATGTGTTGATTAGGGTTGTTTAATAACGTTGGCATGTTTATGAAGAGCAATAGTTACCGTATTTGTGCTTAAGAGGTATTATTGGTTGCTTTTTTTCCGTTGTTGTGAAAGATAAATTATGGTGTTTGTACCATTAGTGTTTATTTTCCACTTCTCAGTGGACTGAATTGTTGGTAACTTGATACCGCTCACTTTGATACTCGCTCGATAGATTACCAAGAATAGTGAATCCATCAGAGACGCGTCGTATAGTATTACTAGGGGATACTGACTTATGTATTGAGTACTGAATTCGTTACGTCTTATTAGGCTCTCTTCCCCTAACTCTTAGGTGTGAGTCGTGAATTAGCTTCTTTGAAAGCCACCAAAATTTATATAACCAAATATCAGAGATCCATCTTGTTGGACCAAAGGGGAGCACAGTCAAAAGCTATGGATGACAATTTGAACTTGGTGCGTTGAATATTACCCGACATTATCTTTATTGGGATAGATATTACCCGACCTAATCCATACTTAGTGTAGGGTGGTTATGGTTATTGAGATACCAATCCCACCTCTCTCATTTTGCCATCCGTACCAGAAGCCCACAGGTGGCCCAAGCTCATTAAGGGGGTCGTTTGCTTGTTGAATTTGATAAATAAGAGTTTTGGCTCAAAAAAACCTTTGAATTTATGAGGGATTTGTACCATCATGAATTTGAAGAGTCTATTGTTTGCATGATAGATTTGATGATATAATTATGATGGATTTGCTATAAATATAACTAGCCATCAAGGATTTACAAATCCCACCCCAATATGTGGGATTTACAAGTTTGTGGGGTCCACGGATTTAGATCCAAAAAAGGGAACAAATCCGTGGACCCCACGGATTTAACACCTGACAACAAACAATGGAATTGGCTAAAATCCATCATGCTTGGGATTTGAGTCCCAAATCCATGACCCAAATCCATCAAGCAAACGACCCCTAAAGAAATCTCGGTATACAATCCAAAGACTAAGGGGTCGTTTGGAGAATATGAGTTTAAATCTATAGATTGTAAACAATCTAAAGATTCTAACTCTTCGGATTGTTGAAAATAGATTTTAAAATGTTTATTGTTTGGTAACTGTGATTGTTTAACATTCAATGGTAATAAAAATAAAAAATTTATATTAAATAACATGTTTATCCTTAATGAAAAATTAGAGTAGTTCGAGAAATATTAAAAACTTTGTTAGTAAATATATTTAATATGATAAATAAATAAAAGAAAGAGAAAAGGTAGGAGAAAAAAAAATCTCATGAATCAAGATATAGAATCTCTCTGATTATGAGAGATTTGATATCCATAGATTTTAGAGATTTGAAATCTCTAAAGCTAAAATCCACAATACAAAAAGCAACAAAAAAACATAGCTTTCTACAAAATCTACGGATTTAATGAATCCACGGCCTAAATCCCATTCTCCAAACGACCCCTTAGGAGTCGTTTGGAGAATGGGATTTAGGCCGTGGATTCATTAAATCCGTAGATTTTGTATAGTCTAAGAGACATGCATAAGGAATCGCAGGTAACAACATTAATTGCCATGCGAGGTAGCCATTGTCAAAAGGATTAGGACATCTGACAAAGGTGCAACGTTTATATGGATTGGTTATACTTCACAAAGGTTTATTTGATTCGAAAAATAGCGATAATTTATCAAAACAATCTGGGTAAATTGCAAGTTTAATCACTGGAATTACTTAAAAAGTTCACGTTTGCCTCAAAAATTAATTTATTCCATCCGTAGTCACTTAAATTAGTACAACAAATCAGGTTTAGTCACTCTCTATTAGTCTCCATTAACTTTATCTGAGGTGGCAGTCAACTCTGAGAGTTGACCGTTAAATAGGTGACGTGGCAATTAAAAAATAATAACAAAGGTAGAATTTAATATTTTACAATTTTCACCTCATTATATCAATTACAATTTAATTTACAAGTTATTAAAATTAACTAACGACAATTACCTGCCACGTTCCACCACTACCGCCGGCCCTAGCACTATGTTCAATACGCAATCTGTGGCGTCCATTTCACACCACCGCTCGTCCCCAACCACCACCGATACCGTCACCATCATGGAAGTGTTTTCACGCCTTGGATATCGGCTGGGCACGACACCCCGACATTGGTGCCCTGAAGAAGGTTTACGATGAACTCCAACGCCATTCTTCTCTACTCTCTTCCTCCTCCTCAACCACCTTCTCACTTCTCCACCTGCCAGACTGACCTCACTCCCCGCTTCCACCTTCTATAATCCCGCGGCACGGTTCTTCCTCTCCAAGGGGTTGGCCCATCTTCCTCGGATTCCGGGCAACAGAACGGTGGTCAGATTGAGGCCAAGGATGGGTAAGAACTTTTAGGGCAACATAAAGCACTGTTAATTAACGACTACTAAACCAAACCACACGACAATGTTTTAGTTTCTAAAGAAACCCTATAACATGAAATGCCACCGTCTTGTAACTCTGATTCCTTCTTCTTCATCGTTCCTCTGCTCCACAATCATTTCTTCATAAGGATTCAACAACTTGGTGTTGTCGCCCCCTTCAAGTTGTGGATGTCACTCTGACTCCCAACTTGACAAACAACTTCGTCATACTTGTGCTATGCAATGCCTTAGTGAACAAGTCTGCAAGTTGATTCACAGTTCCAACATGATGTAGTTTAATCAAACCAGATTTAATCATCTCCCTTGTCTCATGCATATAAATTTTTATGTGTTTTGTTCTTTCATGGAACACTGGATTCTCATAAATGTGAATTGCTGAATGATTGTCACAGAATATGGATATAGGCAATGGAACCTGCACACTTAGCTCTGCAAGAAGAGTTCTCACCCACTGCACTTCGCAAACTAGTAGAGCCAAAGCTCTATATTTAGCCTCTAATGATGACCTTGACACAGTAGTCTGCTTCTTTGTCTTCCAAGTCAAGAGTGAACTTCCAAGGAAAGTACAATAGCTAGTTGTTGATCTCCTAGTGTCAGGGCAGCTTGCCCAATCCGAATAACAATAGTCTTCACTTTCAATTCAGCTTGACTACTGAAATGTATTCCTTTCCCAGGTGAATTCTTCAAATATCTCAGTACCTTGTAAGCTGCTTGTAGATTATTTGTGTGAGGATCCTTTTGGAACTAGCATAATTGTTGGACTCCATATGTCAAATCAGGTCTGGTGATAGTTTACATAGTGCAGCCTCCCAATGAGCCTTCTGTATGACTCAGGATCATCAAATCTTGTTCCTTGTCCTACTGTCAATTTGGTTTTTGTGTCTACTGGTAAGCAGTACCTTTAGCCTCAAGATATCATGTTTCTTCCAGAAGATCCAAACTGTACTTCGTTTGACAAACATGCAAGCCTTAATCTGATCTAGTCACTTCCAGTCCCAAGAAGTACTTCAAAGGACCTAAGAGCTTGATTTTAAACTCTTTGCTTAGAGCCTTCTTAACTTGCTCAATGTCCTTAGGTGCATCACATGCCACTATTATATCATCTACATAAACCAGCACAATTATTGTTCTTCCTTGAATCAACCTAGTAAACATAGAGTAGTCTGAGTTTGACTGTGAAAATCCACTCCTCAGTAGGAAATTGGTCAGCGTGGCAAACCATTGTCTGGATGCCTGTTTTAATCCAAACAAGGATTTCTTCAGATGACAAGCTACCTGCCCTAAACAAGATGGTGGCGAAACAACTCCCGGTGGTACTTTCATGTATACCTCTTCAGTTAAATCACCTTGCAAGAAATCATTAGATACATCCATCTGCTATAGACTCCAGTTTTTAACTACTGCTACTGCCAATAGGGCTTTCACTATGATACTCTTTGCTACAGGTGAATATGTGTCCAAGAAGCCTACATCATATACCTGTGTGAAGCCTTTTGCAACTAATCTGACTTTATATCTTTCAGTAGTGCCATCAAGTTTCAATTTGACCTTGAACACCCATTTGTAACCAATGGCTCTCTTATTTTGTGGCAAAGAAACAATGTCCCATGCCTGATTTTCCTCTAGTACAGCCAGTTCATCATCAATGGCTCTTTTCCATTCTACATGCTTCATTGCTTTATCATAACTCATTGGTTCCATCTGTGTCATAACACTCATTGCATATTTACTATCTTCTATGCTGAGGTGATCCACTTCCAAGCAAATAGGATACTTGGTTACTAAAGCAGCTGAACCAAAACCACCAAACTTTAGTCTTGTGTCTAGCTCACAGTCTTGGTACTTAGAAGGAAGATGATGATGTTGAGTGGGTCTAGCACGTTGTTCATAATCAACCTGAGGTTCAAGTTCAGGGTCATGTTCACCATAATCAGAAGAAGATGAATCGTGATTCAGAGAAGGTGGAAGTCTGGTTGAGAAGGAGACTGAGACTGTGATGTAGAGGTTACCCCCTATCATCAAAGGGTAGAGAAGAAGTGTGAGGTGTAGGAGGAGAGGAAAAGGGTATAGCAATAGGTGGTGCAGAAGGGAATGAAGGAGGAGTATGAAGAGGAGTTTGCACATGAGGTGGTGGTGATACTGACATCACCTAAATTTGTATTATTTACCCTTCATATTGAGGTTTGTTTCATGCCAATTCATATGCATAATTGCTTGAGCATCGTCAATTGCATCCCTATTTTGTTCCAATTTGAATTCGATGTGATTTTAGGGAGTGTTAGACGATAGTTGCGAATTAGGTACAAAACAAGGTCACAAGTGTAGCAAGGGGGGCAGAAGATTGAAGATCCTGGCCTAGAAGAGAAGATCACGGCCGAGATCATGGAATGTGAAGTCAAGCTGAAGATTGATCCCGCAAATTGGAG